AATGAATTTCCTGGTTTTCTTTGAGCTCTGTATGGCCAGCCTTGGATGCCAGAGAAGCTTTTGTAAACACCAGTGGACACAAACAAAATCCCCAAGAAAACCTGCTCCGTCTGGCTAAAGAACCAGGAAAGGGGCAACCTAGCAAGACAGAAAACTTTTAGATGATAATCAGTGTATCACAGTCTAACATTGTAGAATGAAACTACTGTCACCCCCATTAGCAAATGCTAAGTGGGAAACCTAGACTTCTACCCTCCCCTGGCTGTACCAAGTCATTCTTAACATTCTCCTGCCAGGGTACGATCAGAAAAAGTTGACTGAATCAAGATTTTTCACACCCACTTGGTGGAGATAAGGTACCATCCTCCAATCCTGGACTCCCAGCCCCACTAAGCAGTAACAAGGTGCCCCCACCCCCTTCACGGGAGCCAGAGGAAGTCCAGTGGGAGCTGGAACTTTCACTACGATCCAGTGGCAACAAGGCCTCCTCCCACCCACAGAAGCCTCAATGGGAGCCACGTGGGGAGCAGTAACATTTGTCTCAGAGAAGCTGATTGGACAGTCTGGACTTCAGTCTCCAGCTGGGAACAATGAGGCTATCCTCTTCTCCTCCACTAGGGTGAAGTCAGAAGTGGCCTGCCAAAACAGAAAATTTAAGAGCCAGAATCTTGTAACATAATACCGTAAATGCGCATGATATGACCAAATTATTTCTCACACCAAGAACCAGGAAAATCTCGGCTCAAGTGAGAAAAGACTGTCAATAGACACAATACCAAGAGTACACAGATGCTGGAATTAACTGACAAGGATTTTAAAATAGAACCATAAAAATGTCCCAGTGAACAATTACAAGCACGCTGGAAGCAGATGAAAATATAGGAAATCTAAGCATGCAAATAAAAAAGGATCAAACTAAAAATTTTAGAACTGAAACATGTAATAACCAAGATAAAAAGCTTGGACTAGCCCAGTAGTAGGCCGGAAATGACCAAGGAAAGAATGAGTAAACTGGAAGACAGAACAGAACTTACTCAGCCTTAACAACAGGGAGAAAATAGACTGAAAATAAATGAACAGTACCTCAGGGGCCTGAGGGAATGTAAGAAAAGTATTTGTATCATTTTAGTCACAAAAGGAGAGGAGAAATGTAGAGCTGAAAAATATTCTAAAAACTACCTTAAATTTCCCCAAAACTTGGCAAACCTATACATACAAAAACT